CTACTGAGTCATCTCCCTGGCCCCTTCCCAAGTCAATTTAGAAGTAACCTCTTCTGTAAATAATTTTCTTTTGAAATCATTATTTCTCTTACTTCAGTTTATTCAAAAGACCATGTGATAGGTATGTACTTGCCTACATAAATTTTACTATTAAAAAGCTCTTCCTTCAAATTGTCAAGCAATGGCCATGACTCATCCACATGGCTAACATTGACAAAGGATCTACAAATTGCTGTACAGAGTTTCAGGCTAAATCCTGAAGGGATTTGACTGATCTTGTCACATACAGAAGTTACATTTCTTGTTATATAGGTCTTGCTCTATCTTGGTCTTAACCATCCAGCAGAAAAGTATAAAAATGAGGCATAAAAAGTAAAGCCATGTTAATATGCTGAGCTGTAAAAGGCTCAAGTCAACAACTTCTGACATTACTAGTCCTACAGATAACCCACTACTATTATGGACTACTGGACTATATTGGATTATTTTGCTGAATTCATGAACCTACTATATTTAAATGGCAATGGAAACCCATCTCTGACAAAACTTAAAAAAAGGGGGGATACAAATTAAGGGCCATTTTGTATCTGCATAAACAAAACAGTTAGGTTAAATATACAGCTACTATCTCTTAATTCAATGAGAAGAAAGATTTGTACTGAGTGTTTGGACAGGATATCATATCTGCATCTTGTACTATAAATAACCACTATGAAGACAACAATATGCAATGTATTAATTATTGAAGCTGCCTTACTAATCAGTTTTGAAACTGTGTTGTTGTTGTTTCTCAAGAAAATTAATAAAAAATAAAAAAGCTCTTCCTTTAATTTTTAGTTAATATTCAATTTCAGCTCACACACTATGCTGTTAGAGCCACTATTATTTTATTCAGAGCTGATTATTTTAATAACAATATTCATTATGAAGTGGTCAAGAGTCAAATCTCTGGAATTATTTTTCTGGGCTATGAGCAGATAACTTTTCTTAATGTTTTTGGTTGTTACAGGGTTTCACTATGCAGCTTGGACTCAAAGTGATCCTCCTATTTTCAGCCTCCCCAACATTGGGATTCCAGGTCTACACCACTATGCCCAGACTCTATGGCCAGCTCAGCCTGCCCCGGGGTCAGGGATGGCATGGCATGTGTTTAAGCCAAGAGTGATAAGAGTTAAAACAAATTTTTTAAGTCCTAAATTGAAAAAGAAGCTCAAAATATCCTTGTACTCAATCAAGGGGACACACAGGGGCTTTGGCAGTCTACAGTGTCTGCTGAATTGAACTCAATCTACAACAGTTGTCCTTTTAATTAATAAATTTATTCAGGCTTGGCCAATGGTTTCTTAATAATAGTTAGCTCACTTTAGATGTAACATTTTCAAAGATAAAATAGATTACAGAAACACACAAGGATTGGATATCAGGAACCAAAGCATAAATAATTTAAGGAGGAAAAGATCAATAATAGAAAACAGGAAGACAGATCTTTTGCAAATGGAAAGGAAACCAAGAGATGGAGGGATATTGGAAGCGGGGGGAGGGACCACGCAAAGGATTCAGACGTGTCATGTCCCTGTACAACTCTCCACAAGGAGTGTCATCATTGTAAACTGCAGACACACACTCATAAAAAAAAAATTAAAAGGGTATATTATTCTCAACTCCTACAACTTCTACCCACCTGGCTGTAGATTTCAGATGCCCTCTTGGCTCGAAGCATATCTGGGATATCCATGTTCACTTGCATTCCTCTCCCCTTAATTTCATTTTCTAAGTCTTTCTTATATTGTTTCTAAAAGAATAGAAAATAATTGTGCTGATTATTTCACCTTCAACAGCCATGCACCTGCAGAAGTCCCATCTCTACTTTCGGGACTCAGCTCTGAGTGTCTGCATGAGGCTTGCTAGCTGCTGCTCCTCACCTGGCTGGCCATCTCTGATGCTCGCTTCGCTCTCTGGACATCGAGAGTGTCTGGGCTGACCTGCATGCCTTTCCCTTTAACTTCAGTCTCCAGGTCTCTTTTGTAGTCTTTCTGCAGAAGATGAAACACAGAGTTAGTTCCCTACAATCACTCAAAACCTTGATGAAAAAACCATGCTGTCATTTGGAAATGAAGACCAGTTCATCTGAAGTAGGTTGGACACTTGATTTCTTTTCTTTTCTTTTCTTCTCTTTCTTTCTTTCTGTCTTTCTTTCTTTCTTTTCTTCCTCCTTTCTTTCTTTCCTTTTTGGGCACCTGGGGAGGGGGTACCAGGCATTGAACTCAGAACTTTGTGCTTGCCAGGCAGGCGCTTATGCCCCTGAGCTATATCCCCAGCAATTTCTTTTATTTCTATAAACAAGTTTTAATTTATTGGCGAAACATGACATGGGGTGAATTAGTCACAAGGAGGAGGCTTTTGTCTACAAACCTGAATTAAGAAAGGGAACAGAGCTAGGAGTATTGCAATATAATAAACTCCATAAATTACTGGTTAACATATAATTTGGTAGAAGAATGTTAATAAAATGTGATTTAAAATCGTTGCTTTTCATATTTGATATTCAGACAGATAGTGAGGTTAAGTTCAACTGCCTGTGTTATAGGGTAATAATATCATTAAGCTTCTCTTCTGGAGAGTTAACAACTTAAGTTTGCAGACCAAAAATTAGAGAAAAAGAAGGGTTGCAGGGACAGCCAACATTTTGGCCCTAGCCTTTCAAGGTCAGTGAGGACTCCAGACATAAGGGAACCTGTACTGTAACATCCTGTAACTCAGTAATGTCCCAAATTTTCTGATCAAGGAGATTATGGGGCCACAGAGGACAGTGATCAAGGATGTAGAGTGTGCCTAAGGAGAGTCACCTGAAGAGAAAACATTCTCTCAGGCTTTCATAGACAGCAAAGTGGTCAAGCAATAGCTGTGATTCATCCACATGGCTGACACTGAGAAAGGATCTACAAACTGTGGTACAGGGTTTCAGGCTAAATCCTGAGGAGATTTGACTGACCTTGTCAGATACAGAAGTTACGTTTCTTGTTATACACATCTTGCTCTATCTTAGTCTTAACTATCCAGCAGAAAAGTATAAAAATGCAGTATAAAAAGTAAAGCCATATTAATATGCTGAGGTGTAAAAGGCTCAAGTCAACAACTTCTGACATTGCCAGTTCCAAGGATAACCCTCTACTACTACGGGCTACTGGACTATATTAGATTATTTTGCTGAATTCATGCATCTACAACATTTAAATGGCAATGGAATACCTATCTCTGACAAAACTAAACAAAAAAAGAGGATACAAATGAAGGACCATTTTGTATCTGTATATACAAAATAGTTAAGATAGATATACAGCTACTTTCTCTTAATTCAATGAGAAGAAAGATTTGTACTAATAGCGTTTGGATAGGATATCATGTCTGCATCTTGTACTATGAATAACCACTATGAAGACAACAATACACAATATATTAATTATTGAAACTGTCCTATTAATTGGTTTTGAAACTGTCTCATTGCTATTTGTTTCTCAATACAATTAATAAAAGAAAAAGAAACATTAAAAAGTCATTGCTTTTCGTACTTGTGGCAACTTACTGCTCTCCATTCCAAACCACTCTGCTTGAATGAGCTGGGCCGAATTCCCTTGGCCCTGTGGGACTTAAGATCATTATAATCCATCCCTGGCCATGAGTAACTCGTTAAGGGATGGGCGCACCTATTTTTCAAAGTAAGATTACAGACTTTCTCTTTCCTTCTGGACATGAGTGAAGAAGGATGCAGCTTAGGAGCTTCTGAAAGTTTCTCCAAAACTAGAACAAAATGCACCTCACAACTTAAAGTCAGGAACAGAAACTGAATCACATTGAAGTTATGCATCTTTTAATGATGGAGATACATTCTGAAAATTGCATCGCTGTGCAATTTTGTTACTGTGTGAGCATCTTAAAGTGTATTCACAAAAACCTTCATGGGATTGCTCAGGCAATATGGTGTATGTGGTACCCACGCAGGCAAAATGGCATATATGGTATGTTTAGCTTCTGGCCATAGTAGCATCACCAGAGTTGGTGTGAGCTATGTGTAACCCTAATACAGCTGCTTCCTCTAAACCTGTTTGCCCCTAGGTTTACAGGAACAACTTGTGCACTATTCCCTAGTATCTGATCCTAACAACAAAGAGAAATCTAAGTCAGTATATTGTGGAACAAACAAGTAATTAACATAGTAATGAAAAATCTGAATACTAAAATGGGCTAGCTTCCAATGCAAGATATATATCTTATATAACAGTCTGCTTCTAGGTATAAAATAAATGTCTGCTCTTTCCTTATCCCTTTCTCTAAGAAAAGGATGCTTTCAACTGGCATCAGTTCTTTCTCCCATGAATATGGTTTCAAAAGCTTCTCCTCCATCCCTGAACTCCCATGCTGTACCCCATGCTCCAATTCAGTAATTTGAAGTAGCACTGGATAGATCCTCCTTCTTATGATGAAAACTTTCAGACAATTAAGTGGCCATGGTTGCTGGATTTAAATATGCATACTAAAAGGGTGAGAATGGAAAGCGCATTCTGGGTAGGAAGCCAGTGCAATGCTACTAGTGATGGAGGTGGTAGCTTAGAATAGAGTGAGGAGTAGGTGGATTCAGAACACCATCATAAGGCAAGAGAATAATACTGGGCAGTGAAAGAATCAAGAGCTTAATGGATGAGGTCAGGAAAACAAACTGGGAAAGCAAGGACGGGCAGTGGAGATCTCACTATGCACCTTCCATGCAGACCCACCAGGTAAATGGTGACACACGCACATCCAAGTTGTAGAGCACAGCTTTGTTTTTGCAGAACTGAGGACTAAAGCACAATGTTTCTGTGAGAACGAAGTTAGCCTTTGTGATGTGACATAGAACAAGCTCCATGATATTGAGTGAGAAAAAAAAGAAACACAGAACAGAGTACATGGCATAATTATATGCAAGTCTCTTAATGCTATATATGTATGTTTATGTGCATCAAAACAGACACCAAAGACTCCACAACTTAGAACAACAGCTATCTCCTAGGAAGAGAACAAAATTAGAGGAGGGGTCCTAGGAAGTTTTTAAGTCTGTTCAGCTCCCCCTGCTGTTAACCCCTGGCTGCCATTTCAAAATGGAACCTTGCTAGTTAGGAATTCCCTGCCATTTCCAGTTCCTCTGTCTTTTTTTTTGTTGTTGTTGTTGTTGCTGTTGCTGTTGTTGTTGTCTTTAATTAATTTTATTGAGAAACAAATATCAATGAGACAGTTTCAAAACAGGTTAGTAGGATAGATACAATAATTAATACATTACATATTGTCTTTGTAGTAGTTAGTCATAGTACAAGACGCAGACAGGATAACCTGTCCAAACACTATTAGTACAAATCTTTCTTCTCATTGAATTAAGAGAAAGTAGCTATATATCTATCTTAACTATTTTGTATACAGATACAAGATGGTCCTTCATTTGTATCCTCCTTTTTTGTTTAGTTTTGTCAGAGATGGGTGTTCCATTGCCATTTAAATATAGTAGGTGTGTGAATTCAGCAAAATAATCCAATATAGTACAGTGGTCCATAGTAGTAGTGGGTTATCCAGAGAACTGGCAATGTCAGAAGTTGTTGACTTGAGCCTTTTACAGCTCAGCATATTAATATGGCTTTACTTTTTATACTGCATTTTTATACTTTTCTGCTGGATAGTTAAGACTAAGATAGAGCAAGATGAGTATAACAAGAAACGTAACTTCTGTATCTGACAAGGTCAGTCAAATCTCCTCAGGATTTAGCCTAAAACCCTGTACCACAGTTTGTAGATCATTTGTCAATGTCAGCCATGTGGATGAGATTCCTCTGTCTTAACCAACCACAGCCACCTCATTTCCCAGCCAGTGCCCAACCATTGGAAGTAGGCAGGTCCTGACACAGCAACTCCACAGGCAATGAATCAGCTCTCTCTGGCCTCCTGGAGTCCTTGGACGGCCCTTGATGTTGAGGCCCCTCTTCCTTACTCAAAGAATTGAAGGTAGAGGGGGAGGGACCACACAAAGGATTCAGGTGTGTTGTGTCCCTATACAACTCTTCACAAGGAATGTCACCATTGTAATCTGAAGACACACTCATAAAAAAATTATTTTCCCCTTGAGCAGTGTCACCCCTTAACCTGCACCTCAAATTTCTCTCTACATATGCTGCTTACAAAACTACCCATCCAAAATCTCCTTCTGGTGATTCTTTCATTGTGTCAGAATCTCTGGGAAGTGAAGGCGGTATAGAGCCAGCCACAGAATATTTCTTTTGAAAAACACACATATAGTCTGACTCCTATAACTTTGTTAAGTTATATCAATCATATCTTAGCATCTAAGACAAAACTTCTAAGTTAATAGAGTTTATATGTACTACATAAAACAAAAAATGGCATTGGACGAAGAAACATGGTCGTTCAAGATGGCTGGTATCTCCACTCTCTAGCTGCTGACCCTAGCAGCTCCAGGCTGACAATGGAGTCAACAGAGGCTATTTTAAGAAAATGCAATCACACAGAAATGGCAACTGTTCTCATGTTAGTGTCTCAACATGTGGTTTCCGAGTTTCCAGAACGTTGGAAACACAACTATGCCAAGCATGCCATGATTCATCATAAAGAAAACACAGTATGAAAATATTCTTCATGACCTACATTAACACGAAGTTTGGTCCATTATGGCACTGGATGTAGGAGGAAGCTGCGTGTACACACGGATGCATGTGTGCATTCTATTAAAATGCCTTTCCCAAGCCTTCTTTGATGTATTTACAGAATATGAACATGCAAAAACTATAAACTTACAAATAAGCACAAGAATTTTGAAATGGTTTCCATTACCAACTGTCAAACCAGCCAGAAAACTGTGAGAATTCCATGCACTAATTAAGTGGCTAATACACAGCTCCAAAGCACGAGTTCAAGATCTGCAAGATTAGTGCCACTCACCTCGCTGGCTATCTCAGCAGCTTTTCTGGCGTGCTGTATTCCCAGGGTGTCGGCACCGGCTTGCATTCCCTTTCCTTTAATTATTGACTCCAGGTCCCTCCTGTATTCTTGCTGTAAAAGATAACATTTTATAACATTCAGATATTCCATAGACAAACATGTACTATAGTCACTGATAATGAAAAAATAGCTAAACATGTCAAAAGAAAGATATAACACAGCCTAGTTTGTACTCAGACTGATCACCTAGAACTAGATTTTCTGAACTGCACAGAACTATAATTATTCTTACTGAAGAAGCATATATATAAAGCTCTGAAGAGTCCTAGTATCGAGGTAATTACCAGGTGAGAATCTTTATGGAAGATTTACTCAGGGCAGGTGGATAAGGATATGGGTGCAAGCAGGCTGGTATTATAGAAAGAGAGCTGACTTTCGAGCCAGAACACTCAATAGTGGTGTGGCCCTGGGACTGTTTCTTACTGTTTCTAGGTTACTCATCTATGAAGCAAGGATGGTAATAGATTCCTGCAGGGTCCACCATGAGAATCAGTGAGTCCACACAGAGCACAGAGCCTAGCACACAACTCAATCCTGAGTGATTTCTTTGGTCATTCATCACTATACCTCCACACCACTCCACCCTTCTGATAAGGACCAATTTGTTGCTGTTCAACTGACTGGACTCTGCCGCTGAATGTTTAATACAATTTTACAAACATTATTGACAAGTGATTACAGGACTAAACTGTGACAATACCATTGCAACAGAATTTAGGATTTTGGAACCATGTGATAACAACACTAGCCAAAGACACCTCAGTGGATATCTGATATTTGTGATGGACTGGCACTCATGCCTCATCTTCTAGTGAAACATGCTGTGATTTTCTGCAAAGAACTACCTCTCAGCTCTGTAAAATCACATGCTATTTGGGGGCTGACTAAACACCCTCCTCTTACTACTCTTCCTCATCTTTCTCTTCTCTTCTCTTCTCTTCTCTTCTCTTCTCTTCTCTTCTCTTCTCTTCTCTTCTCTCTCTCTCTCTCTCTCTTTCTTTCTCTCTCTCTGTCTCCCTCTCTCTCTCTGTGTCTGTCTCTATCTCTGTCTCTGTCTCTCCCCCACCCCTGTTTCCTCCCCCCCCCCATTTTCCCTCCTCCTTTTTCTTTTATTCATTTTTGGACATGGTCTTGCTGAGTCACTAACTTGTCCAGACTGGGTTCAAACTTGCAATCTTCCTGTTTCAGTCACCCAAAGCACTGGGATTATAAATCTGCGTCACTCCACCAGGCTTTCCCCACCTGTGTTTTCAATTCCACTAACATGCTTTTGAAATCTTTCATTTAAACAGTATAAATACAGCCAAGATTAATATAATTTTAATTACATATAAATGTAGACAATTTTGTACTTGGGACATTGTTAAATGACACAGGACGTTAATTAAACCAATGGGTTTCTGTGAGAAGTTATCAGTACCACGCATTCTTTTGACCTGAGAAGAACGGAGTTGACACAAACAGATGTGATCCTAGGACCATGACTGGAACTCCATAAACCAGACATTCACTTCCCCTTGGGTTAATTGGCCATAGATAATTAGTTTTTCTGCTGATAGCTGGGGTCATCTCATGGTTAACATCTCATGGTTAACCCTAACCCTAACCCCCCCAAGAGCGAGGTCGACAGAGAAGGTAATGGAAAAGGGAGTTCCTGTGACCACCAGAAGAAAACTGGATGTTGGACTTCTCTATCCTACTGACCAACATATTCTTCTGTCACATAATCTACTTCAAATTGGTTTCTATACCTAACTAAGGCATCTGTCATCATTACCATCCTCCTCCTTCTCCCCATCACCCCTACAAGGCAACATACAGAGACAGAGCTTCAAATTTTTTGACTGCTAAATTCAGCTAGATTCTTCTCAAAGCATGTTGCTAATATATGACACCAAAATAATGGCAAGATATGAGGAGCAAGAGATTGAAAGTACTTTGGTGACACTTCATTTCTTCTTATAAATTTCACAGAAAATGAGAAGTGGCCACTTGCTTCTGATGAAGAGGCCTCACTGAACAGCTGGTGAGGGTGGGACAATGCGCAAGCTCCGAGCAGGACAGCATGAGCTTTTCAGCCACCATTACTGACAGATCAGAAGAACAGAACTTTCCAATCTTTAACTTTTTACATGCTTGAAAGATCCAGTCAAATTGTATAAAACTATTGTAGCACATTATACAGATTTTTTCAGAAAAGGGGCAATGGCCATTTCTGTCACACTAGTGAGAAATAAGACACTACACTGACATGGTTGATTGTTATCATCAATGCCCATCCACTGTGGGATGTGTATAAACTTTGCAGAATAGTTTTTGGTAAGGAAATTTTTTTCAACTGAAAACTGTGCACACTGTAAGCGGTTAAATAAATGTACTCACCTCACTTGCTATTTCAGATGCTCGTTTTGCTCTTTGGATATCAAGAACTTCTGAATTAAGTTCCATCCCTCTCCCTTTTATTTCATTTTCCAAATCTTTTTTATATTCCTTCTATAAGACAAGGATATGATTGTTCAATGCTTATCAGAAATTAACTATTCTATGTGTTTTCTAGAGACCACAGACAGAAGTTATGACTAGGAAAAAAAAAATTAGACTGCTGAATATTCATGCTTATTTCTCACAGAAATTTCATTTTCTCCTTTGTCAAATTCAGAGTGGGATCCAATATTGTTTATCTTTTCTCTTTATCCTTCCTCTCAATGTTTTGGAGCTACTATGCATTTCCAAAAAAGATGTCTTTCCTCTAAGTGACAAGGAAAATCTTAGGATCTGCATGCTACTGCTTATTTGAAGTTTTTAAAATGCCTATTAAAAAGGAATTACCAAAAGAATATAGGTGGAAAGGAATAGAAAATGACACAATCAAAAGCATTGCTGTGGTCAAAGATTTTTTTAAGCTTCCATTTTATTCGAAGATTTGTAAAACCAAATAATTTCCCACAGATTAATAATACATATTTTGGATTTCTCCTTTTATATTATTATATTTCAAGTAGCTCCAAATGCCTGACAAATGCTTCTACAGAACTTGTTATTTGCTGGTCATGAGTTGCTTGTTATCTTCCTTAATTGCACTATAAAATAATTAGTCTCTTCTTCTCATTAAACTAAGTTTCATTTATGACTTGTTTGCCAGATGAAAGATGAAATTCCCTTTAATGATATGAAAGTGGGTTCCAGTTAATTCTAGGGTACATTTCATAAGACTTCCCTTTTGTCTTGTGTAATTAAATTAGCCTGATCTCTTCTCAACTAATAGTTTACTATGCGTGGTCATGGCCTGCCCATGCGCTTGGAAACAGCTCTGAATCAAATGACCTGGGTAAGAAAGATCTTTCATTTACTTGATCATATGATTTGGCTTTGATTTCCATGTGAGAGATGAAAATAAAAGTGTGCATTGTACAGTTGCAAAGACAAGTAGAAGAAATCAAATGAAATTAATTTTTAAAAAATGATACTTTGGACGCTCAAAGTGTCAATGTGAATGTAAAAGCTGTACAGTAAGGAAAAACTATTACAGCTCAGTACTTGCACTTAAAAACAGAAGTGATAACTTAATTAAATCACCAAGTGCTTGACGTAAAGTTAGGCATCTCTATAATGTAAAGATTTTAAATCATAGTTATTATGGACTAAATGTCCACATCCACTAGTAAGTCATATGCTGAATTCCTAACTCAATGTAATGGTATTTGGGGGGCGGGAGGCACCTTGGGGAGATGATCTGGTTTAGGTGAGGCTTTCAATATGGCCCCCATGATGGGATTAATGGCTTTGCTGGAAGAGAATGAAGTTTTCCTTCCATGAGGACACAGCAAGAAGGAAGAAAGAACTCACCAGGAACCAACATGCCCGCACCTTAGTCTGGAGATTTCTAGTCTCCAAAACTATGAGAAATGTCTGTTTTTAAGCTATTTGGTCTTTGATATTTTGTTATAGCAGCCCCTAGCACACCAATACAATAATCCCATCCTTTGCATTTATTCTGAATCAGTAAATCCACATTGTTATCAGCACAATCTTGCTATATTTTTAAGCAAGATCAGACTTGTAGAGATTCTCCTGTTTTCAGCCTCCAAAGCACTGGGATTATAGGTGTGCACCACCACATCCAGTGTCAGCCACCTTCTCAGCACACCCCAAGGGCATGGCCAGCATAGTATGCCTGGGATCGAACCGGCCACTGCACTCTGCCTAAGCAAGGGCTTTAGTCCACTGAGCTATCAGGCTGACCCATTATTTTGATCCCAATTATATTCAGGGTATGCTTTCTGTTTAAGAAGGATTGGAAAAGCTTTAGGTTACGTTTTTGAAAACACTTTTAAGAGGGGTGGACAATGATATTTTTAATTGTCAAGTTAGAAGACACTAATGTTCAACAAATTTAATGTATTAACTCTAAACCAAAATGCTTCTTTATGTTTGAGAAGAAAGATGAAATGAAAAGTGAACACAAATTTCTCAGTTCTAAATGTAAGCTACATAGTTTCCCCAGCATAAGGAGTCATACAGAACATGCCATAGTTTCAGATTTTCACATGTGAGTTCCTCATTTCTGATACCAAACATCATAACAACACATAGGGAAGCTACCAAAAAAATCTGATTCTAATATATCTTTATAGTAACTAAATTTGAAAGAATCAAGCTTGCCGGGGCTGGAGAGATGGCTCAGTGGTCTAAAGCACCTACTTAGAACAAGCTTAGCAAAGCATCAGGGACCGCGGTTCAATCCCCCAGCACCACATGCCAGCCAGCCCCGCCCCTTGGTGGGCTGAGCTGGCCACACACACACACCTCTCTCTCTCTCTCTCTCTCTCTCTCTCTCTCTCTCATAAATAAAAATTAAAAAAAAATTTAAAAAAAAAAAAAAAAAAAAAAAAAAGAATCAAGCTTGCCCATCTAAAAAACTAATTGCTATGACATCAGAAAACTCAATGCTTTTAAAGTTTCTGGGCTAAAATCAGAAGACAAAAACCATAACATTCTTAAAGTTTTTCCAAGAAAGCAAGGGAATTTTTCCCCTAACTTTAAATAAATGTGTCAACACACACTTAAAAGGATGAAAGTTCATATCTCAAACACTCAATTAGTAGAGAATTGTTCAGTAAAGATTTCCTGAGTTATTTCTTTAGATTTCATTTTCTGATATTGAAAAGAAAATATCAAAAACCTACCTCCCTCAGAAGGTTGGTGATGTACTTTACATGTAAAAATTCAGGAGTCTTGTCTAAATCCAGGGAGGACCGTCCTTTAATCTCCTTCTCAAAATCCTCTTTGTAAACTTTCTGTAAAATGAGACCATTATAATTTTAAATGCAGGAAATCTTAGTGACTATTGAAAACATATCTTCCCAAGAGAGTTACAGACATCATATTTCAGTGTTTCGTTCATAGCCAATCTCATAGCAGGTAATAATAGCTGAAGGTTGGAAGCAGCCTATATATCCATCTTCAGAAAAAATGGAAAGAGATAATGTATTCATATGCAAATAGAGTACTATTCTGTCATAAAAAAAGTAAATTTATCACATGATATTCCACCTAGAAGACCCCAAAAACTCCACCAAAAGACTTCTAGATTTAATAGCTAAAGTAAGCAGTAGCAGGATACAAAGTCAACATCAAAAATCAATAGCATTTCTGAACACAAACAATGAACACACTGAGAGACAAATTAGGGACACCACACCTTCCACAGTAACATCCAAAAATGAAATACTTACAAATCAATCGAACACAGGAAGTAAAAGATCTATGCAATGAAAACTACAGTATTCTGAAAAAAGAGATCAATAAGGATTTCAGATAATGGAAAGAGATTCCTTGCTCCTAGATAGTAAGACCATCATTGAGAAAATGGCTACACTTCCAAAATTGTTATACAGATTCAGTGCAATCCCAATTAAAATACAAAAAGTATACCTCATAGATCTAGAAAAACTTTCCTATAATTCATCTGTAACCAGAAGAGACCTGAAACAGCAAAGCAATCCTGGGCAACACTGGCAAAGCAGGAGACATCATAATCCCTGACTTGAAATTGTACTACAAAGATACTGTTATAAAACCAGCATGGTTCTGGCAAAAAACAGACCTGAGGATCAATGCAACACATTAGAAGCTGCAAAAACAACTCCAAACACACTCATCTCAACTTATTTCAATGAAAAGGTCAAACACATTCACTGGAAGAAAAATTCCCACCCACTTTAATAAATGGTGCTGGGAAAACCGGCTTTCCATATGCCAAAGGCTAAAATTAGATCCATGTCTATCATCATGCACTAAAGTCAAATGAATCAAATATTTAAATATTAAAACAGATACACTAAATCTACTGGAAAAGAAAGTAAGTAGATGTCTTAAAGACATAGGGGTAGGTAGAGTCATGAACAAAAAACAAACTTCATGGGAAATACTTCAAAAAGTCAACATCTAGGATCCCATTCTTCTTTTAAAGTTTCTGCATGTCAAAATAAATCACCAAAGGGCTGGGGAGATAGCTCAGTAGAATAAGCGCTTGCCTGGCAAATGCAAGGGCCTGAGTTTAATCCCCAGTTCCACCACAAAATAAATAAATAAATAAATCACCAACAGAATTTTTAAAAACCCACAAATTGTGAAAAAATATTAGCCAACTGTCCCTCAGACAAAGGACTTCTGTCTAGAACATATAAAGAATTTTGTTTTTAAATCAAGCCCCCAAAACTCAAAGACTCAATCCAAAATGGGCATGTAAAATGAATATAAATTTCTCAGATGAAGAGATACAAATGGAAAATAAATATCTGAAAATGTGTTCATCATTGGTAATTCAAGAACTGCAAAATAAAACAATTCTGATTCCATCTCACCCCAGAAAGAACAGCTATCATCAAGAGGTCAACCAGTAACAAATGTAGGAGGGGCTGTAGGGAAAAAAGGAACCCTTCTCCACTGTTGGTGGGAGTGTAGACTGGTACAACCACTGTGGAAATCAGTGTTGAGATTCCTCAAAAAACTAAGATTAGAAGTCCCATTCAACCCAAATGAACTGAAAACATACTACAATAATATGTGTTCACCCGTATTTATAGCATTGGAATTTGTCACAGCTAAATCTTGGAAACCCAAATGTCCATCAACTGAGAAGTGGATGGAAAAGATCTGGTATTTTTATACGATGGAGTATAAAAAGATAAACTTGATAAATGGATGAAACTAGAGACCATACTCATAAGTGAAACAAATCAGACCCACATGTATAAACATCATATTCTCCCATTAGCACAGGAACCTGAAGGAGTAAATAAAATCTAAAAGGTACAATAGGTACTATAAAAAGGAAACTGTTCAAATGGAAGAAAGAACTGGGATGAGGGAAAGGAGAAAAGAAAGAAAGAAGGGAGATAAAATACATATGTATGTACATAGGACAGCTTAGATAATTGTGCGCTGACTTCTGGTCTATTGAAAAGCTAAGATAATGCTTAAAATTATTTTTCTCTCCTTTTTAATTTTTTTTGTAATTTTTGACCAATTTTCCATGTTTATATCTGGTAATCTGAACAATTAAGTTGAAGACAACAATATGCAATGTAACAACCATTATTGAATTCCTATTATTTTGTTTAGAGAAATTCTACATTATTTCTAATGTGGTTTTTTACTATTTTTATTCTCTTTAGAATATTTTTAAAAATTAAATTTTCATCCCCACTACTACAAGACAACATGCCATGTATTAATTATTGTAACTGTGCTACTAACCTGTTTTGAAGCTATCTCATTGCTACTTCTTTCTCAATAAAATTATTAAAATAAGAAAAAAAGAATAAATTTTCACCCCCTTTCCCCAAGAGTGCCTTGATTTTTATTTTTAAAAGGGGTTAACTCGAGTCATTTGTAGGAAAATGGATGCATCTTTAGACCATAATGGAAGTGAAATAAATCAGACACACAAACTTACGACCACATGGCTTCACTTATATAAGAAACCCAAGTTATAAGTAAAGAGAAAAATAAAAGATAGATAATAGGAAATAGGAAGGTGGAACTTCCTCAAAAGAGAAGGGGATGAAGAAATGGAGAGGGGGGAGGGGAAGGGAAGGAATTCATAAAAGGAATTAAGATACATTTTATGCATGTTCCAACTCCACACAGGAATGTAAATCTTATGTACCGCAGACAGGTACTAATAATAACTCCAAAATTAAAACAAGAAAAGACAGGACATCAAGAATTCCTAGAACAATAAAACAAATTGATGTTTTGTTCTATAATTCCAACATCTCAGACTCTAATTCACAGGAAAATAATTCCACCTTCACCCTAAATTTCAAGATTCTGTCAAATAGAAGCAGAAACACAAGGATCATCCCGTCTACCTGATAAATAACTCCTGTAGCTGCTCAGCATCCTACTAGTCTGATTCACATCACACCACTCTAGGGCAGGAGCCAGGAAGTATGGCTATTTGGTTGGATAACCTGATTGACTCAGTCCAAAGGAAGTAAACCCACCCCCAGAAGATAATCTGGGGCACTAAGCACCACTTACATCGAAGGAACATGCAAGGTCACAGTGCCTTTATCCTCCTCGTGCTCCATCTGTTGTGGATTTAGTAAACACTCTTTTAAAATGCAATGGAGGTATGTTGGGGAGGACTAATTTTTTTATTTAATAATTTTGGCCTGAGAATTTCTCTATCCATTAAGGAACGCAATACATGGATCAGGCCATACTTTAAAGAAGATCTTGTTTTAAACCTGGTAAATCTCGTTCAGCCTCATCTCTTAGTACTGGGGATTGAACCCAGAGCCTTGGCACCTTCTCCTTTAGCTATATCCTCATCCCTTTTCATTTTTTATTTTGAGACACAGTTTCACCAACTCACCCAAACAAGACTGAACCTTGTGATCTTCCTGCTTCAGCTTACCAGAGTTCTGGAATTAGAGGCACATTCCACCACATTTGGCTTGGGTAAATCCTTCTTTAGGTAAGCAGTCCCCATGAGAAATGAAAAGAAGATGCCAAGGGCAACCAGGGAAAGGCCTGGTCCTGTGACAACACCTGCTCTTCACCTGCCTGGCCACTCTTAGACTAAGATTCTTAAAATTCTAGCATTGGAGCTATACTTTTGAAGAATCCAGTTTTATGACTGAAAACACAATCTCTATAAATCATAAAATATGCACATATGCAAAAAATTTACTAAACAAGGACCAGATTAACTAGCCAAATACTTTATTCAGATTACATCATAAAGATGACTAAAATAACTGAATCCTGAATGAGGTCATTATTCCCACAAAGTGAGAGGTTATTCCAGGTTTATTACATATTCATTACAGAGAACAGTAACTGCATGGGGAAACAAATTCTCCAAACCATGTGAGAGAATGAAAGTGTGTTGCTTCCTGTCTTAGCATCTGTGGACAGCTATGATGAATATCCTATAAATCTAATTAAGGAATTGCTCTGAGATGCTTCAGAATTAGAGCCCCAAAATGAAAAACTTTCCCCTTTTTAAATTTGGAACTAATGAAGATAACATGATTATAAGGCTGAATTGAGGAAATTTCCAGGCTAAAGGTACTCTAGAAAGTGAAATATAGATAGATGTGTTTGTGTGTTTGTTTATATTAGATATTTCACTACAAAAAGCAGTTAATGCTGAAAAATATTACTGAAGTAAGTCATTAAGGAAAGTCAACCATGCCTGGAACTAGCCAAGGGACAGCCTGAAGAAAATGGGAAAACACCCTTGCAAAGCTTTTGCAAGAAAGGGAAAGGGAAGATGAAAAACTTTTTAAGGATAGATGTAGAAATTCCTTCTCGAAAAGAAGCACAAGAATTAAATCTCTCTGGGGCCAGGGAGATAGCTCAGTGGAATAAGCACTTGCCTGGCAAGCACAAGGGTCTGAATTCAATCACCAATTCTGCCAAAAAAAAAACAAATTTGGGGTCAGCGAGATAGCTCAGTAGAATAAACGCTTGCCTGGCAAGTGCAAGGGCCTGAGTTCAATCCCTGGTTCTGCCAAAAAAAAAAAAAAAAAAGAATTAAATCTGTCTAACCTGGAAAGAAAACATGATGGACAGTCACAAAGCAAGGCCACATACTTTCCTGAAAGTCTACATACTTAGCTTTGCAGAGAGAGAGAGGAAACTCCACAAGCCAAGCAGAGTTGTGCCTGTCTCTAAGGAACAGAAGCACCTCTGTTATGGCTGAGTGTCCTTCTGTCACTCCTTGATCACCTCACTGGGCCTATATATAAAGGCATTTTCACAGCAAACTTTTTGTAAGATTCTCGGATACTTTATGTTTCTAGCCTTCAGAGGATAAATGTGGTCCAAAGATATTTTCTTCTATAAAAACAGAAGGATAGGGATAAATAAATGAGGAGTCTAAAGAAATCTTAGACTTGTGGCCATAAAGAAGGGGAGACCATGTCTCATTTGACAGGTGGAAAATAATAGATTGGGTGAAGAAAAAGCAGAGACTGTTGTAAGAGATATGGAGCTAAAATCCAAAATCACAGAAACATGGTGTCAGAACATGTTAACCATGAACTGTACAGTCCAGGACTTGTGCGTGGGAGACAAGTTAACTATGCTAAGGAAAAAAGAAGGAACCACAGGGCAAGAATGATAAATGGGTCCTCAGCATGAACATTTCTATAGCTAGAGACCCAGAAAGGGAAGAAGGGAATGGACATGGACAGTGCAGGGAACCACATGGAAGACACAGGTGACATCTCCCTCCTGGCATACCTCAGGGAGGTCTGAAGATGAATTATGACATCTAAACAACTAGTAATTTTGTCAAAAAATTCTGGAGGAGGTTTTGTCCGAACATTGTCATTTTCTCAGGCTTTGATCTTGTTACTGGAAAAAGACCTGACCACACCCAGTCGGCTGGTACTCATATTAACCATTATTTCTTCCCTTTGAAAGTAATAAGTCAGTTGATTCCATAGAACTTAGATTTTGGCTATTGACAAAACCATACACCTGCATGTCTGATTCCCAGAACAGAAGAGAAGAAATAAAACTGGGACAAAGAAAATCCAGGAATATCTGGATGTGACTCAATAGTATCTCAGGTTAGGAAGAAAGTAAATAGGAAAATAATTCAACTATTCACTGAGAAAGAAAAAAAATCAAGTAAGTTCGTAAAAAAGGAATTGTGGGTGATTCTGACTCCATCATAAAGCACTGGAATTTACTAGCGAGGTAATTTTATTTAACAGAATTTATTTCAGTGGATATATTATAATCCTAGAGATAATACCTTCTTAGTGCCATTACTTTGAAGATTAAATGAGCAGACATACATAAAGCTCTTAGTATATTACCCGGCATAAAATAAGAATTAAATAAATGTTGGGTTTCCTTTAATGCAAGGGGGATATTAGTACAGCATCAGTCCTTCATTTTCTTTTAGCCTTTAGATATTTGCCATAGCTTTACAGTGGTAAAATCTAAAATCATGGAATTCCATTTATAATCATGGAATCATGAGCAAGAGCTGTAAGAACTTATCTGGCTTGATAATCGTATTTGCCAAATGAGAAGAACTAAGGTCGATATCAAAACCCAGCCTAGGACACAGGTTCTGGAATCTGCCCAAGGCTGTGCTCTTCCCTCTAGGCCCGCTAAACATTCTCGACCACTTCCTGTCTTTTTCAAGTGACAAAACATCCCATTCACATTAAATAACTAATAACAAGTGACCTACCTCACTTTGCATCTTTTGAGCTTCCTTTGAAGCTTGATATGACGGAGTGTCAACAAACTCAAGCATTGACTTGCCCTTATTTTTCTCATATTCTTCTTTATATTTAACCTTCATAGAAAAAAAAGTAAGAAAAATATAAAAATGAGGCTTGAAGGTGTAGCTCAGTGGTAGAGTGTGTGCTCAGCATGTGTGGGGTCCTCAGTTCAGCACCCACACTGAAAGAGAAAACGAAAAAGTTACATTGTTTAGAAAATGACAAGCCATATACAGATCAAAGAAAAATAAGTGTCAAAAATTAGCTGTTTTCTACAACCAAGTTACTCGAGTTATTTAGGATGATCACTGAATTCCTTGAGATTACTGACATACAAAGTAAATGGGTAATATGTATGAATTTTGAGGAATGAAAGTAACTTAGAACATCTAAATAACATAATAGTTGCATAAAGGACTATATAAAGTCTCTTGTCAAATAATACAGTACATATGCATATTTGTGATATGTAATTACACAGTCCATGTATGTGACAAAATATATATGGGAGCTTGGGAAGGGAGAGGGAAGGATCCTATTAAGAAAATACAGGTATGTTTTTCTATATTTCTGTCAAAAGAACTGCTGCATTTTTCTATAAGGCACTGAATAAAACAGACACAGATCTTTTATGTGGTTTCTTTTTACCATCCATTATTTAATATTATATTGTGCATTAATATTTCAGTTATGGCCATTCCTCATCTTACTTTAGTTTATAAAATGAGTACAATTTTCTATGTAAAAACCAAAGCTAAAATTATATATTAGCCATCAGAGTGGTTGACTTTATTGGCAACATGCCTTTTTTTAAATTAAAGTAATAAACTGTGATCAGGATTTCCTTTATCCAGAAATGCAATCTCATAAAAATTCTTAAGTATAATAACTTCATGAAGTTATTTTCAAGTTTTAAAATAATGAGGATGTTAATAGTAATTTAAGTCAAAGGAAGTTTTCATTACTTAGAACTTTGTGATGACAAAAATTTAAATAACTTTTAAATGTCCATTAACAAACACATTTTTATTGAAGAAAGATATGATAGAATGACCATCAAAATTGTTCAATACAGCAAGACTTCGTCTCAGAAACAAACTGTTGGAAGTACAATAGCATTCTATTGTAAAGTTTGATGAAGGAAAAAATGAAATGAAAATAACTGAAAGAGATCACAATGTGCATTTCCAAACATCAAAGAGGAGCTAGTCTGTATATTTTGAAAATAAATCAAATTAGGCATAGAAGTATGCTTCACAGAACACATTTGAGAGAGTCCCATAATTTTTTGTCTTAGCAGATGCAGAAATGACATCTTCAGCAACCAAATTCAGAATTTAAAAAATAGATATCAGCTTTAAAGTGTGATAGGAGGGTAGTTTTTTAAAGTGTTTTGAAGGCGCATAGGAGCTCATAGTGGCAAACCACATCAATTTAGGAGTTACTGGTGAGATCGTTTTCCGTTTTCACTAACCCTTGTAAGTGCATGGAGAAATAAAAATAAACTTTGCACCTGGAAAATTTTGCAGCTCAAAATAATGACTCAGATGTAAATCCAGAGCTCTGACCCGCAGTTTAACTCCTACAGTTGAAGTGCTTAATTAGGTGAAAGAACAGTTATTAGATGAAATGCTGAAACATGGGGCAGGCTTTTCTGGCCCACAAATGGGAGACAGTGCCTAAGATTTCCCAAAGCAATTTGTGTTTTCAGGCCCTGTTTTTCTCAGCAACTGCACCTTCTCAGTTGAGGTGCCCAGCAGTTGGTGTCACAGTGGTGACAACGGTCCTGGGAGGCCAGGGGGTGCCCAGGGGGCACGTACCTGACTCTGGAGCGTAGCAACGCCTCTGTGGTGCAGGTGTTCCGTGGCATCGGCGTCAAAATGGTATGCACCTCTGTTTTCCTCAAACAGCTTTTTATATTCTCGCTAAAATACAGAACATGGAAACATTCAGCATAGGAGAGACTGATTAGAACCATGAACACTCAGGAAAGTGAGCAAAAACTCAAGCCACCACAGGGGACAGCACCAGCAGCACATCCCCATCAGCAATCAGCTGGGGTCAACATTCCTGACACTGACAAGAATGGGCAGCACGACACAGGGCAGCTCCAGTGGACAGAGCGGCCAGCACAGAGAGCATCTGAGGACACGTAGCTGTGAGCACAACATAAGGGACACCCACAGCACAAAGGGTGGCAGCGCAGAAGCTGGTGACGGGACCCCTGTGGACAGGCAGTGACAGGCCAAAGGGCAGGAAAAGAAGGAAAGAGAGAAACAAACTGGAGGCAAGTAAGAAAAAGTTTCCTGGGAGGGCTCAGCCATGAAGAGGGGAGTTACAAGGAAAACAAGGCAGAGAGAAATGGGCCAACTGACTTTCCTAGTTGCAAAGGGTAAGAAGTACTTGGAAGAGAAACTGAGGAATCTGGGCAGAGTGGCTTGAGATTTTAAGAGGAAGACCTTGGATTAAAGGTACAGTTTAGAGGTGTAAAGGTTACTTAGGAAGAGACCGGATGGGCAGGGCACCCCGGCTGTCAGCAGCTGGACTTGAAACACAACAGGCAGCAAAAAGGCCAAATGGCTCAATGACTTCTATCCCTGGGAAGCAGACACGCAGTTATTTCTCCCTATTTGGAAAAGATTTTAGAAGTAAACAGAAGCTATCAGGCACTCCAGACCACAGAGACTGAAGAAGTAATACTGACTGGCTGCTCATTAGGCAATGGGTTTTGGAAAGACAGCAGTTGTGCGGAGGGAGAAAGAGATGGCACTGCAGGGCTGCAGGCAAGATCCAGCGGCCAGCTGCAGCGAAGGGATTGACCCTGGGTCTTGGGAGAGGCTGGAGGCTGTGGGGATGGGAGAGCGAAAGGGGAAGAGAGGCCAGCGCCAGGGATGGAGAGACAGAAAAGCCAGGTGACCTGCAGCTGGAGAGCAACGGTGCACAGAGGTAACTAGAAGCATAGACTTAGGTCCCCCAAGCCCCAGCCAAAATGAAGTGAAGAAGAAAAGCACCAAAGAATGATGTTCGCATAGCATGCCATGACTGAAGAGAACAACTTCTACGGACTGGGCTACATAGTAAGTTCAAGGCCAGCCTGAAAAATACAGTGAGACCCTGTCTTGAAAAAAAACACCTTAAAAAATAATGATGTACTTAAGATACTTCACAATTTTATTAAAAGTTATTTTATTATAATATATATTTATACAATAATCATAACTTTAAAGTCATAAATTAAAACATGCTATTGTTTAAAATCAGACTTAATCATAGGGCCTTATATTTGAAATAATGGAAAGATAATACTCAGGGTGGATAAATATTGTTCCCAACACAAAAAGCTATTTAAGTTATGAAAAAATTCAGAAAATTCTATTCTAGAAAACAAAAACAAGGGCCAGCCAAATAGCTCAGCGGATTAAGTGCCTGCAAGCTGGCACAAGGGCCGGGGCTTGGATCTCTGGGCCTGCCATGTCTGCCCCACCCCCTAGGCACACTGAGATGGCAAACGAGACTGGCAATTGAGACTGGATGTGGTGGCACACAACTGTAATCCCAGCACTTGGGAGGCTGGAAACAGGAGAATCAATACAAGTCTGATTTAAACAGTGAAAACCTATAGACCCCATAGACTCTATCCTAAAATAAAAAATTAAAAAAAGAAAGAAAAAAGAAAAAGAAAAAGAAAACAAAACCTACCTAGCTGGACTAAAATCTGCAAAAGAAATTTCCAGTACCTAAATTTGTACTTCCCTGTATATAATAGTCTCTGTTGCCTCCTAGTGGAAGTTTTACAGAGTAACACAATATAAATTGTTTAAGTTCATGTAACATTGTACAGGAAACTAAAAACTTCAAGGGATACATTTTCCAGGGGGAAATGTTTCCTTAAAAATGTAATTAGTATAGCTATACAAATGCATAAGGCATTAATTTCACCCTACACACTACACATTAAAATAAAAATACATTCTGATGTACACCAAAGACAAGAAACAGCCATTTAAAACAAACTGACAGCTAGCCTGGGCAGAAGTCTTTACTGACTAATCTCTTTCAACCTTTTACTAACATAAATTGTCTAACTCAAGACAATTTCTATCTCTTTACACTAAGATTTAAAAGGCAACTTTTCTAATGTGTGATACAGCTGAGCCAATGTATCACTGAATAATTTTAATAAGCAGATGCACTGGAGTAATTCATTATTTTGGTCAGTTAAGTTTTCTGACCTGAAATAATCATTGAGCCACAGTTTTTCCGGTGGGGGAACAAATATCTAGGATCTAAGTAAAAATACTACCTGAGTGAAGATTCTTATCTGAGCAAAATTTTCAGTGAAGCACAGACATGGAACAAGCTGGGCATAACAGCATGCCTCATAACCTCCGCACTCTGAGAGGCTGAGTAGGAATCACAAGTTCCAGTCCAGCCTGGGAAACTTAGCACCTTAGCGAGACCTGTCTCAAATACATAAGAAAGATGCACTGAGAAGTAGCTCAGTAAAAAGGCCCTGGGTTCAACCCCAGTACCATAAAATTAAAAAAAAAAAAAAAAGCAGAACAACAAAAAAGTTGGACATATGATTTTGATGATTTTTCTCCACTGTTTTCACAATTTATGTGAGGCTATAATTTTTGCATTGTTATCATAAAAGTCAACATTCTAAAAAGTAGTAGACTGTTAGTGGTATTAGACTTTGGACATAAAATGTCCCCCAAAATCCCATATGTTACAAGCTTGCTTCCCAAAGCAGCAAGGCTTAGCGATGAGACTCTGGGAAGTGGCCAGGTCCTGAGGACTCCAACCTCCTTGCCGGATTCCTCCACTACTGGATTCATCACAATATGATGGGCTGGGCAGAGGTAATGGAAACACAGGACAGAGAACCTGGATAAAAGGGGTATGTCCCAGGGCAGGGCGTTCTCTCTCTCTCTCTCTCTCTCTCTCTCTCTCTCTCTCTCTCTCTCCCTCTCCCTCTCCCTCTCCCTCTCCCTCTCCCTCTCCCTCTCCCTCTCTCTCTGCTCTCTGCTGTCACAGAGGTGGATAGCTCTCTCCCACATCCCCTTCTACCATGATATCTGTCGCATCCATGCCCAGCAACGATGGGGCCAGGTGACCTGGCCCAAGATCTTCGGCCAAGACAAATCTCTCCTCCTTTTAAGTTGCTTATTTCAGGTATCTTGTCAGATGTGGCACACATTCTACCAGATACCAAATTGTTAAATGACCACCAAGACATTTTTATTGCTTATGTATACTTGATTCTTCACATTCCTAAGGAATTTGACTTGAATATGGGTGAGAAATCAGCAGAAGCAGATGCCACTGCAATGACCAAAAGTGACCGTAAAGACAGCAGAGGACTCTGTAGATAGGAGCAGATGGAATCATAAGTGTGCCTGAGCTATGGAGAAAGCCATGGGATGGAAATAGGGATGCTCAAGGAATCATGGGGTGTGGAAAGAAAAGTAGGCGTGATGTGGGCAGCACAGGACAATATGATTTCAGTGTTGTCCAGAAACCAACTGCTAATTCTGAGCATATCAGTGTGCCTCTACCCCTCATTTTTTGCTCAAAGACTGGTGGAAAAAATGACCTTTTTCTATCCAAGTATCAGCAATGTTGGGGGGAAATGAATTAAAACTCCAGGAGTATGAATGATTTATATGCATTATACACTTTAAGAAGGATCAGGGTGACAGAGATATAGAAGAAATGAGACATCCAAGATAATGAACAGAGGTTTCAACATATCAAAGTCAAGCATACACACAGTACTTCTAAAGCTGAACTGAAGCTGCTTCCCACTGCTTCAGTCTGTGAGTCAAGTTGACTTAAAGTTGATTCCTGCAGGCACATCCACTGAAACAACTATCCTTATTTTTTCTCAAGCCTTGCCCAACACAGACTTCTTCATCAAGGCCATGCCTATACAGAAAACTAGGACAATTTTGAGTGAAGGGGTCACTACTAAAATAATGGAAATTATTCAAAGTCAAATGGGAGTTTGCCATTGCCACGGGGCAACCTGAGAGAGCGAAATGGAGTCACAAGGGACACAGGGTCAGGAGACAGAAGAACCGGCCAACCTAAGGTGCAGAGGCATGAAGACTGAGGAAACACACGGCCCTGAACACAAGTTTTTGCCATGACATGAGGTGCTTCTTCTACTCCTAGCCGTCTTGGCAGAGCGCCCAGATGACATCATAAGACTAAAACCATGGGGACAATGAAATAGAGACACCTGTATAATTTATTTTCAGAGATACTAAAATTGAGACTGAGACCATTTTTATGCTACTGAAAGTATGCTAACTGCCAGACTCTCCACTCTGATGTGCATAAAAGATCCCTGATTCACAAACCAGAGGCTGCAATCTAATACAGATGAAGAAGAGGAAAGCAGACAGAAAGGAAGAAAGTTGCATAATCCACCCCAAAGATGCCTAATCTCATCTGAGCTTCAAATGAAGAACACTTCCCACCTCCTGGAAGCGTTGTTGCATTCAAGAGGTACTGAGGCACTATATAGCAGGAAGCCCCTGCGTAGAAGGGCAGCTTTGGTGGGGTTACCCAAGCAGATCGCTACTCCTCAATGAGTTAGTCACGCGGGGTGGTATGGTGCCAAAGACATCAAAGGAAGCAGGTGAGCTCACGGCAGGCAGACCAGCTCCTCGGAGCTTTATGACATTGGCAGGTGCCACCAACAACCCACTTACTCCACTGAGCATTTTGCTGGCTTTCAAGGCATGGTCTAAAAACAACAAATTTGGGAGATCTGAAACCGGGTCGTGTATATTTTTAATGTCCTTCTTGTAATTCACCTATGAAAATAACATGGGACAAAATACCATCTAGGAGAAAAAATATGCTTTTGCATTATTGACGTTATTATTTTTAACATGACGTAAAGCAGCATTACTATTTAGTGGTCAGTTGGCAGATGGGTTTATTAACAACCACTAGATGGTGCTGATTCACTATTAAATGAGTAGAAAGTTTTCTTTCCAGGGACTTAAAAATATTTTAATTCCTTTACTGTTTTCATATTCCTGAAGGACAATGTCAACAGAATCAGGCAATTATACAAGAACTTAACTTTCAAGAAATAATGAGATGGCAGATGGGGGTGGAGTATGCCTGTAAATCTAGGATTCTGGGAAGCTGAGACAGGAGGATCACAAGTTTGAGCCCAGCCTGGAAAATCTAGCAACTTAATGAGATCCTGTTTCAAAATTTTAAACATTTTTTAAAAGACTTGAGGATGTAGCTTAGTGCGAAGGCTCTGGGTTCAATCTGTAATACTATAAAAGATGAAAACAAAAAAGGAAAGAAAGAGAAGAGGGAGAAGAGCCACTTTATTCTTCAGCCATTAGTGCAGTATTTCAATTTTGCTTTCTGGTGATCTTTGGTCTTTGGTGTTTCTCCTCCTCATGCCATACAGGCCTATTTTGATGGGGGTTTTGTTTTATCAGCTGCTTGGGAAATATCACACTAATAATAAAATTATAAAATATTAATCATAGCAAGCATGTTGAGCACTTACTATATGCCAGCAACTTCTCTACAAATATGAAGTATTTAATCTCCACAACAACCCAGTAGGTAGGCACTTTAAGCACCCCCAGGTTACAAAAGAGAAACTGAGTCACAGAAACACAAAAGTATACTATTAAGCAACAAAACAGGATTTCAATTGAGGCAATCTGACTCAGCCATGAGCTCTCAGCATGAGGCTCAAGGTTTCTTTAAGTAAATTTCATCTCTAGCTCCTTTACATTTGCACAAACACCCTCACAAACAATCGAATAAAAATCATCCTGCTATTCCCAAGTCCTAAGACACAAAAATTCTAATTTCAATTGCTGGGAATAAGTAAAAGTTGGTTACGGAACACAAACAATACCTCCCAAACATTAATGAAAGTGAAATAAACTAACTCCTAAGGAGACAAAGGGAATTGAAAGGTTTAAATGATCAAACAGGGCAACATTTTGATATTTAATTTTCATACTTGAAAAGGTTCTCTGAGCAATTTCAACTACAGCAAAGCAATTTTTTCAATGCTTCTGCTTTACATTCTGCCTACTTTTAACAAGAATTTAAAACATTATTTCTTATCAAATGAATCCTGATTATTTTCTAAAACATTCAGTAAAAATAAATCTTACAAAGAAGTATTTAACAGCCCTTATATACAAGATATGAAACTGTAAGTCATTAACCGTGTAATTTCTGCAAATTTCTTTAGGATAAACTATCACATACAAGGTAGTACTTTGTAACAAACCCAGTGTCATGGGTATAATTAGGAGTTAATTATTGTCCTACCTACTAATTTGTAATAATACTGCTTTTCTGCAAAACTCTATTATCTATTTCTACTCTTATTCAAACGTGATAATTTTATTTGCAATACTATTCCTACTTATTACCTAATTAGTAATCAGTAGCCATTAATAGTAAATTATGAAAATATATTTTTTCTAAAGAAAAAAATCTTCAGGAGAGTATGCTTTAGTGTTTTCAACTACAAATTAGTAAAAAAAATTACACGATCTTGATTGAGTATCAGTAATTACAACACAGTTCTGAGGTAACAAGAATCAAAAGATATTGAAACTAATTTTCTGTGAATTACAACTTACATTACTCGCCAGAGCAGCCGCAAGCCGATGCTGCCTAAAAGAAGCGCTCTCAAGGGGATTGTAACGATGTTTCTTACCCTTCATTTCGTTTTCAAATTTTTCTTTATATTTAACCTGTCATGAAAAAAAATAAGGGGTATTAGATAACATTTACAATGAAAAGTAATACAAAGTATTTTTAAAGTGATCAAATGAAAAGCTACCTGAAAAATGAATGGTAGCACAATTAAAATTCCCAGTGTCCATGACCCTTTATAAAGTGTAATCAGACATAGTTTTGTTTTCAATGAGCTACCTGAAGAGTGACCATAAATACAATTAGTCATGCACTCAGAGGCTACTCATGAGCACTACACACTAAAATATCGAAAGTTTTAAAAGCCAGTTGCTATTCCTGCCCTTCTGCAATCTAGATCAAACAGAACTCGAGCACACAAGTATCTTATGGTCTACCACGTGTGCATAGATTTTTCCCTAAGCCATCTCAAAATATTTCCCAAGTGGCTGTTTCCACCCCAATTTTCACTGAGTGTTTCCCATCTGTATTGGCATGGGTTCACCGGAGAGGCCATCACTCTAAGAGGCTTGATTGAAAAAGATGATGTGGGCCACTCCCAAATTGCTAAAGATTTCTGGGGCGCAAGGTCTTAGATCCACAAGTAAACAAGGCACAGATTTCAAAAGCCGAACGTCAGCTGTTTTGTTCTTTTATACTATTTTTTACATTACAATTTTTACAATATTTTTGATTTCTTATGGTCTACTACGTGGATTCTTGGTCCTGGAATTTGAATATGAATTTACTTGAGGAAATTAACCCAAATAAAGTACTAAACTTATACTGTGTTTTTTCTCACAATTTCCTATAGTTCATTTGTTCAAAATTCATTTTTAGGAAATATTTTTCTGAAATGTCCTGGGTCTACTTAATGTATTTAATTTTTCTTTTTAGGGAGCAGGAGCTTTTTATTTATTTTGATTAGTACATCTTTGCAGCATATAATGGTCATATTCATCATGCAGGATTTGTACGTGTACAGAGCCTCTTAATTCTTTTTGTCTCCCTTCCCCTTCTCTCCCTCCGATCCTTCTTCACCTTCTGAAGTTCTAAAGCTCTATTGCATTTTAAAATTACTCTACTTTAACCCCACATTTTATTCAGCATGAAAACCATCTCTAATATTCATTCTAAATTATGCTTGTTTTTTAAGCAGACATACAATGACAAAATGGCTACTCATTTATCTTTCAGAACAGTACCTTTCTTCATTGATAAAGAAATATGTGAATATGGGCTATCATTAATTGGAATTTAGATACAAGGTTTTTTCCAATAAAATAAGTAAGTAGATAAACAATTTAGATCTCATGCCCCTTTGATCTGTGTAGTCAGAAAGGCATAGATTTCAAAAGCCAAACGTCGGCTGTTTTGTTCTTTTATACTATTTTTTAGATTACAATTTTTACAATATTTTTTATTTCTTGCATTGCTCTTGTAATGCATGTTTACTTGTGGATCTAAGACTTTGCGCCCCAGAAATCTTTAGCAATTTGGGAGTGGCCCGCATCATCTTTTTCAATCAAGCCTCTTAGAGTGACGGCCTCGCCGGTGAACCCACACCAATACAGATGGGAGACACTCAGTGAAAATTGGGGTGGAAACAGCCATTTGGGAAATATTTCGAGATGGCTTAGAGAAAATACTTTCAATGCAGTTTCACTTGATAGTAACAACTTTCTGGTACTCCCACGGCCTTGTAAATTTATTCTGCACAATTAATGAAGCCTCTCTAAAACAGCATTTTGATTTTTTTAATGATTCTTTTATATTCTGAAATCATAGATCTAACAAAGATTGCTAAATCAGGTTTCCTCCTTTCATTTCTCAGTAGCTGGGACAGAAACAGAGGCTCCCCCTGCCCTGTCCTCCCTGAAACACACAGTCCACAGCTCTGTACCAGTGCTGCTCACTATATGTAAGAACTGCTTTTGTCTCACTGGGGTTTGGTGTCTGGGGGCATCTGCTCTGCAGCTGTGGCGGCCTCCTTGACCCGCTTCTGCTCACACCACACCCCTCAGCCACCAGATTCGGCAACACCAGCCCTTTCCGAGTCCAACTCTTCCTGCCAGCCAGCAAACGCTGACCGCTCAGTGCATAGCTGCTCACACCTCAGCCTCTGCTTCGGCTGTGACACGCTGGCCTGCACCAAGTGTCCTGTGGCTTTGTCATTTTTCCAGCCTCACACATCGTGAGTCTCCTAGGCATGTATCAGCTAAAGGTGCAAACACACTCCACGATCAGCATTCAGGGAGCCCAGGGCACTGTTGTTGTACAACCAGGAGTTCCCAGGATGATGACACTAAGAGGACAGGCTGTGTCTAGGTGGCATTATTTGAAAATGAAAGTCCCAACTTATCAGTTATTAAACCTGGCATTTGCTCTTCCAGGAAAAACGTATATTTCTGAAAAACAATAATCAATCTGTCATTCATCTGATACATTGAATGTAATAATAAGCAAAGTGTGGTAATTTTTTTTTCATTCTAACCTCTACTAGTCTAAGTAATTTGATTCAGAAGATACAGTTTTTCTTATTAATTTCCAGCAAAGTAAAATAATTCCATTATTTGAAATGTATATTGACAAGACACAAACACACAAGTTGCTTCACTCTTTCTGTGAGCTTTGTACATACATGAGCTAAGAAAATGATCAAAGGGTTTAAGCGTCTGGCGTCTCTTGCTTTCTCACTGGTTCATTCACTAGTGACACAAACACGCTTAACCTCTCTCCTAATTTCAACCCACAGCCACACAGCAGAGTCCTACCGCCTCATCCACACTCACCACCTGGGAGACCCCAGCAACCCTTAGCTTTAACTGTAACTGCTTATCCACCCATGAACAAGGCATAGCCCCCCACTTTCAAGACCATTTGAGAAAGGGAAAGGTAATGTTGATTTTAAGACAAAATACTATTTCTTATATCTAGATTAATTATTTTAGAAACTAATAAAGTTTACTTTTATGCTATATGACTATTTACATCATGAATAGCATACTGAGTGGTCTTGGGATGGATAGATAGATAGATAGATAGATAGATAGATAGATCTCCTAGAAGTTTTAAAAAGAATTTTAACCTTAGCAAGACTTTCAGAGGCTGAGATTGCTAAACTTCAATTTCATTCAAACTGTTCCTCATAACTGCATCAGAACAGAGCCAGTGTCACCCTGGCATGAAGCGTGACTTCTAAGCCCATTAAGACTCTCACTAGGGATGGTGCTCGGCTTCTCCACAATCTCACTTATAAGCCAGACTCATCAGAAGCCAGCAAAAGTGGGAAAATCTAGACCCTGAACAAGAGCTGTTCACTGTAGCCACAGAAGCAAGTGGCAGGAAATTGAAATTTGGGAACTGCACCTTAGCTACCCCCTGAAAATGAAAAGTAAAAAAAAAAAAAAAACCCACATCTCTCTGCATAAATGCTTACCAATTTTGAATGGAATTAATCTATACATGGGTAAAGAAGACAGCACAATTTCTACTAAAGCCCATGAGAAAAATCAATCATTTTTAAGCTTGAATTTTACAGAAAATATTATTCATGCCCTCATTTTCTTTATAAAAATAGCATCTTAAATGGCTTTGCATAAAATGTCAATAATCCAGAGAGAATCTATTTAATCAGTCTCTACATATTTGCCAGCATAATCTATGACATTCTACAATGATGGATCAATGATACAGAAGTCATCTCTCAGCACAGCCTGCAAGTGGTAAATGAATATTTAAAATATACATGTATACATATACATGACCACAAATTATATAAAGAACTGTATAGAAAAAAGATGGAGAACACAGAAGAGTAAAGAGATACAATTTACATCAGCAAATCAGAAGGTGACCTTTATGTGATATTTTGAATATGAGGAAGTGGACAGAGTGATGCCACAAGAAGAGAATAGGAGATTCCCCAAACCAATAAGTATCTTTCACAATTTAAGGACAATATACATTGCTAAATTTTTAATAGCAATCTGTACTATAATTTTTAGGTTTATAACCCATTCCTATCAATAGAACAAATGCAGTGTTTGCTGTCTCAGCTCATGAACTCAATTCATCCCATGACTCTGGAAAAGACAGCCACAGTCATATTTCTGTTGGAAAGATGGCCATGGTCACATTTGTCACCTGATGCAGAATTCGCAAACAAAAACAAAATTTTGCCAATTGCTTTATTTACAAACTGAATTGTTCACCAGAAGTGTCCCTGAACTTCCACCACACTGTACATAGGCTTTTTTGCTATTATGAAACTAAACAAAGAATTCATTATTCATTCATATGTGATGTGATATATGAATATATTAATTAATTATTCTGAGAGTTGTCTTTTTTTAAATTTTATTTGTGGGGGGGCCAGCTCAGCCCAGCAGGGGGCGGGGCTGGCTGGCATATGGTGCTGGGGGATTGAACCACAGACCCTGTGCTTTGCTAAGCTTGTTCTAGGTAGGTACTTTAGACCACTGAGCCATCTCACCAGCCCCTCTGAGAGTTGTCTTAAGTTGATAGCTTTAACAACTATTACCTTGGGGTACATATAAGCCATTCTCTTTGAATGAGACTTCGGATTTATTTTTCCACTGATTATTTTTGATGACTTGATCCTAATTTTATATATCGTCCAAATTTAAAAAGGGAAAGTTTACAATCATGAGAATGAAGCTATTGTAAGAACTAATACAAGAAGAGCTGGGCACATGTTTCCATGAGTTTTTATGAGTAAATTCCCACAGAGCTCAATTTACTGCAAAGCAGCAGCCAACTTGCTCACTGTTCTCAGAGGCATCTTTCATCACGCGTGTCTTACGACCATGTGCTGAGACCACCGGCTCCCCGTGAGGGTCTGGCCTCTCAGCATTCTTCCGGTGCTATCCTTGTACTTTTCTTCCTGCTTCCTGCCTACCCATCACCTGCCTTACTTTCCTGCTTATTGAATTCCTGAATCATTTCCCCTCCTCTGCATTCATGTGCTTCTGTCATTCCTTTAGGTGTCCTGAGAATACCTGTTCTTCAAAGTTGTCAATGAAAATTTAAAAAGCACACTTCTTGCTTTTATTTTAAGGTAAGACAGCTGAGAATAGAAATGAAACATACAGAAGTCATTCCAGGACTTGTATTTAACCATCTACCCAGATTTCCCTTTTCTGGTAAGTCCCTACACCATATGATCAGGAAGAATTTCATAATGCAATTAAGATGAACTCGATCCAACTCACAAATTATGATCTTCCAAAGAACGGGGTTACTCAGTTGCTATAATTTGAAATAAAAGAAAGTCTGTCTAAAAACCCAAATAGAGATCAAGTATAAGACTTTTGCAGAGAAAATCTGAAAAGTGAAAAGAAAAGCCCAAATATGCAATTTTTCTTCCAAGAACTTTCAATGGGGAAAGAATGAATTTAGGACCACAGGTTCACCCCATGTGCCTATTCTTGTTCCCCACTATGTGTAAATTCATCTGAAAAATAAAACAGAAAACAGTCTGAGCACTCAGAATAAACTGATTCCAATGAAGATACACAATCTACATGCCAAGTTCCATTTCTGAGTCCTCACAGCAGTGATCCAGATAAGTAGATACTACAGGTGTCAACCCCATTTACAGATGAGGGGCTGAAGACAGAAAAATTAAGCAATTGGTCTAAAGTCACTCTGTGAGCAAGAACAGAACCCCAGAATGTGACCCACGTGACCTTGCTCCAGAGCCTGTTTCCTTAGCCTCTGAAGCAAACCTGACTACTCTCCCCCAATCTGCTCTGTTACTCCTGGGCAACCTTCCCTCTCAGAAAAGGGTGGATTTGTAAGAGGTCAGAAAGCAGTCAGGACAGATGGCTGAGACCTCTCATTTCTTCAACATGCATTATCTAGAATGCAAAGAGCTTGGAATCCCAGTGGCTCCTAGTCCTTTAAGGAGAGTGTCATCCAGCAGCTTCCCCAACCTTGTACCTCAGCAGCCTCCAGAGTTACAGTGTTGTTTTACAGGTAAAAGTGCCTTGTAAACTACAAAGCTATTAGTGGGAGACATGTCACGGGCAGGGCTTGCTCATTTCTGTCTCTCCTACATACCCCTTCTCTTGCTTCACTTTCATCCCTAGGGATAGCGAGACTTTGGGCCAATCACTTCACAGGAGATTATATCACAGCAAGCCAGCTGGCCATGGTGGCTCCTGTCTCTTCAAGGCCAGGCTTTCTGCAACGTGGCTACATTAACCTCCCCAGTGTAACAATGTTCTCACAACTCTTCTTTGCATATAATTTTCAGTGAAGTAACTCCTTGTTTTTTTTACCCAGAAGGGGAGGCTTAACTGAGTGACTACAGTTTAAAGTGCAATAAGTTGTTCTTGGAATTTAATTTTAAAATGTACACCATAATCAACATTTGGAAATCACTGTCTCCTTTTCTATTTCTTTCATAGCACATAATATTCTGGAAGCATGGAACTGGGGACTTACCATGCAATAGGTATAGAGTTTCATTTTTGCAGGATAAAAAGAGCCCTCCAGATAGATTGTGGTGATGGAAATACAACACAATGAATGTGCTTAATATTACTGAACTTTAAGTAGTTCACATTTTTTT